CGGTGGTGGTGTTGTTTGTGGAGATGATATTGTTTGGGGAGATCACTACATACTGTGTTTTTGATTTTCTTCTAATTCTAACAACAAAACACTGATCATCTAGTTTTTCTTTATTTTTTATTCTTAAACAACCATTCAAGCTTAAAACTTCTAATTGTTGAGACAACAAAAATGTTAATCCCATAAATTCTTACTTAATTTCATGTTTAAATTTGAATGTTTTTATAATTTTTTAACTGTGTTTGGTCACATTCTATAAGCGTAGATAGCTTAATTATAATTTGATGATCTTTTTTTTTATAATTTTTATTCTTTGTTTGAGCTTTCAACACCTGTCGTTCACTCAATTAGAAAAAAGAATAACTGAAATAAATATTTATTTTTTCACCTACAATTTGTTATGGTAGCGGCGCATGGTTCTTAGATTGACAGTAGGTTCTAGACGGCAGTAAATACACTGGGAAAAAGTTGTTGTTTTAAAGATTCTATCTAATCAATCTATTATACAAAACAATATTTGGAGCATTCAATCATCATTGTCCCCACTGATACATACGTATTTCGTTTACAGCTTTTCAAAATATAAAAATCTTAGATTTGAAAAGCTTTAAAGAGCTTGAAAGCTCTGTTGGTCAAAGAGTTCTAAATTTATGTTAGAGAACTGAAAATAAGACCAGAACTCCTGTCCTCATTATTCATAACTATAGTTCGCCATATTTTCTATTTCTATTCAAAAGCTCATGGCGAACAAATATCAGGAGGACCAATTTTCAAAAAGCCGGTACACAGAGGGAAAAAGAAATATACACGCCTGGTACCAAATTGACACCAAAGAGTTTATAATTTTTCAATACCATCTGATGTCAAAGTATATGCATACGTATGACAACAATATTGCTTGTTGTCATACGTTTGTAACATTTAGACAACGGATGTGTATAAAATTTATATTGTCGTACGTATGTATATACTTTGACAACGGATGTTATTGAAAAATTATAAACTCTTTGGTGTCAATTTGGTACCAGACGTGTATATTTCTTTTTCCCTCTGTGTAGAAGAGAAAGCTTACGACGGCTACTGTCTGTCAGATGCGGATAATACAAACTTTTCTTTTTACTCTTTTCTCTAAGTGTAACCTAATTTAGGCTAAATAAACTTTCATACTGAGTTTATCGTTGGATTTGAATAAGATGTTTAAGTTGTTCCCCCTATTGCGGTATACTGCCACAGATCTCTGACGAAAATATAAAGAAACTGAAGAGGTAAAAAGAGACATGGATTTCTTCTGATGATTCTATAGAGTTAGAGATGCTTTTGTTTTGATCTGCTTACACTAGTAGTATTTGTGTAGGTGTGTAGAAAGGTGCTAGATTGCTGTTTGTTCTTAAACACAATTAATGCCTCCATGTGTAAAATGATCATCATGCGGTTGTCGAGATTTTCGTTCGTTCTTTCATTCCATTTATTTGATTTTGATTCTTTTTTTTATGACACGCTGTGTAAAGATTATAATTTCTATTAAAGCTTTACTCTTCTACATTCCATTTACATAACATCTGTTTGGATTTGATTGTATTCGAGATATGGGAAATTATTTCATCACGTTTTGTCTTTTCTCTTTTGGAAACTATATTGTTGTATTGTTGAAAAAGTGTGACAAAACTTGAGAAAAATTTATTATAAACTTGATAATTATTTGCTTAAAACATATTTTAAGTGTAAAAGAATTTGATAAAATCTTAATTAGGTGTTAGAATTTCATTTAGAATTGATTTATGTAATAGGGGAGTAAGTTAAATAATTTCGAGGGGTGACATTAACAAGAGATCAGTTTAAGTAAATGTATAGAATTTTTGTAAGTGTAATTTATGTTGTTGTAATACATTTGATGTTGCTAAAGTTTTGAAATAGTTTGAAAAATATACCTCTGTAAAAGCTTTCTAAGTCCAACTTGGTTTAATACTATCTCATTTGGATCAAAATAGTGAATCATATTCTTAAAATTTCATATTTACTAACGTGCCCAGTAAAATATTTTCAAATTTAAGTAATAAGTAATGTAGTTATTTCATACTTTACTAGGTAATGAGTGGTGGTTATAAATAACATATGTTACTTTGTTTTGAATAGGATTTATAGCCAATTATCTTGAGCGTTTGTCTAATAATAAATTAGTTAGTAGTTCTAACCCTAGTGAAGTAGATATTTTGCTTTTAGTTGGCAGGGCCTTAACTTGAAAATTGTAAAATATATACATATTTTTATTAAATTTCGTTATGAAAACTTTTTATTTGAATTTTCATTTACTTTGTTTTTAATAAAATGATTTTTGCAAATCAAAATCGTTTCAACAAACCCTAACATTACAATAGACCCCCCAAAAAATAGTCTTCAAAATTACCAATATGCCTTCAAAAATTCGCCACGCACACTTGACTTTTTATTATTTTGTAATAAAAAAAAATGTCATAAAGTTTTTTTTTCGGTAATAAAACAGTATTGTTTTTGTCCAAAAGAAACATGTCAATTTAATATAGAAAAATTTGTTACGCTTAATAATTTAGAAATTACATCAATCTATAGTTGATTATTAGGCATAACTAATTTAAAACAAATTTTTCTATTGAAAAAATCCAATATTTTTACAACTTAACCTTTAAAGCTTAATTAAATGAAATATTTTTTTATATTGTTATTATTTGTAACAAATTTGTAATAAGAAAACATTTTAATAAAATATGTTTTTTGTCCTAAAATTTTTAATATAACATTCGCTGCGCTTTGGCAATAGAGTGGCCATATTTTTACACTTGAAAAAATTATATTGATGTTAGCAAACAAACGATTATGAGGTAGTTTAACTGAGGGGACTTTGAAAAAACACCCTTTTTGTGGCCTTAACATTTATAAGGGTGGGATTTTCCTGTGGTTAAAATATGTATGAGGAAATCCTGCATATACATATGTGAGGAAGGAAATCTATAATGAGCTGAATGTCAATTGCTTAAATTATGAAAGGCCCTGCACGTGGAAAAGCTAACCGACCCAATGCACTTAAGTGTTTAGGAGATATTTTCAATTATTACAAAGTTTTAATACTATTGTTAACAGACCTTATGTCAACACTCTTTTAAATCAAATAAACACACTTTTCCACCCTCTCTTCTCCCCTTTTTTCTCTTGTACAAAAAGGTACTTAAGATAAATCTTTAAATTGGAAGAAAAGGGAAATTGTTATTATAACTGACACTTGCCGGGAATTTCTATTAAAATTTGTTTATTGAATTTTTATCTAATTTCTAAGGAACTTTTATGATTTATAGAACTTTTTGTATATGTGTATAAAATGTGTTGGAAAAACTAATTAATTGCCTTAACACTTTCAACTTTTACTACTCACTCAACTCAACTCACTCGAAAATCTATAAATCTTTAAATTTTTTAAAAATAAATAATAATAATAAAAAAAATCATCTAATTAAAAACTCATAAAAATTAGGTTGTGAAAACTATAAAATTTATACAACAACAAATTAAAATAATACATTTTCTTTAAATTTTCTCACTTTCCATAGCTAGAACAAAGAAGAAATAAAACTTAATTAGTTTCTTAAAAAATTTGCATAAAAACAAATGTTAGGTTATGTTCTCTATCATTTCGTAAAGGCATAAACTTGTCAACAAACACCTTGGGACATCAAATTATATGTGAGTGAGTGTATATGTGTGTATGTCAGAAAACCGTTAAAAACATTTTAAAGATCAGTTTGTGGCAATTTCAAGATAAACTATATATGTATATATATTGTTTCTTAGTTTATTTGTCTAATTTGACACTTGTTGTTTGTTAATGAAAACAAAACAAATGTATTTGAGTACTTAGTGTTTTTGTGCTGTTTTAATTACTTTTCAATTGACCCCCCACCCGTTGTTTTGATGTGGAAATTGATTTATGGTTTGTTGAAGCTGAATCTGGTTTCGTTTTCTATACTGTAAATGAAAACTGCCACAGTATATATGTAAGTAGTTTGTTGCCTCTTTATTCTAAAAATAAATGTAAGACAAATTGTTTGGATAATTTGTCTACGATTTCCTATAAGTGTCTGTTGTATTTTCATTACAAATTCTTGAAATAATTTTTCTATTTAAGACACATTTTAATTTGCACATCTTTGTGTTTGGCTTGTTGTCTGTTGGTGTACGCCTTTGAAAATGGCGAATATTTGCTGTGACTGTTAAAATTCTTGGCTGATTTACGTCAAATTTTCTTTTATAAAAGGCGCCACCTTTTTGTTGTGTTTTTTCCCCTAGTTTTTTGTAATGGTCTTGATTTTGATTAGCTTTTCTAGTGGGGGGAAATTATATTAAAACGATATCATAGATTCTAGATAATAAAATAATAATGTTAAATGATGATCTCAATACTTATGAGTTAATCTGTCTTTCTTTATAATTTTGCTTAACAAATCTATTTGAATCATTAAAACCGTTACATTGTTTGTGATTTGTTTCCCAGGCTTAATTTAAATTTCAATTTCAACACTAATATTAACTAATTGTCTTTAATAAGCCAAACATGTTGTGAATTTTTTATTAAAACTTTAACAAATTAAAACAAAACAAATAAACCTGTGTCATTTATTAAATATAAATTTATAGTGATTTATAAGTTTACATACCTACTCACAAACGTCTCTACCTCTACAAACATACATATTAGTTTTAAATAAAAAAAAGATTTATAAAAAAATAAATAATGAAAAAACAAAAACTTTATCAATTCATGTCATATATTTTATTCATATATTATTTCGAACAAATTCTTGTCAACACTAAGTAAATCAATCAGCTGTACGTATGAGTTTACAAAAAATATGGCAGGAATTTCAATTTTTGATTTCATTAGTCAATTGATTGATTTGTTTATAAAAATACTGACATTTTAATTATAATTATTTCATGCAAATATCATAAATGTCTTGGGATTTTTTTTTGGTTAATGTAAAGAAATTGTAAATAATAATAAAATTTTGAGTACTTTTTTTGGAACTTTATGTTAAAAGCACGTTTATATTGTTTACAAATGGTTAAAAATAATTTAAAATTCTTTGTTTATCATTTAAAGTGGGATAACAGTCTGGTAACCTATAAATAAAACAACTGAACTTTCAGCGTGTAAGCAATTCTTAGTGAATTGCAGTGTCAAAAGTTAAAGCTAATTTAGCGGTTTTAGCAACATAGTAGCGGTCCATACTGGGAAATTTTTGTTGAGAAACCTTTTCTTAATTCTCTTTCAAAGATTCCTTTATGTCTACACATAGAAACTTTTGTTTCAGAAACTACGTATTAATTGCATTGATTTGTTTTTGTACGAATGAAAATTGCGATCTGTAGTTTGATTACAAGGTTTACAAGCCCTATTCAGGGGCTCAGTTGTATGGGGGCTAGGTGAAATAATGAATCGATCTTAACCATTTTCAATAGGCTTTGTCCCTGGGACAATAGAAGATCATGTACCAAATTTCATTGAATTATCTTCAAAATTGCGACCTGTAGTTTGATTAAAGGTCTACATGGACGGACGGACATAGCTAAATCGACTCAGAAAATGATTCTAAGCCGATTGGTATACTTTAAGGTGGGTATAGGACTAATATTATTGTGCGTTACAAACATCAGCACAAACCAAACCAAAACAAACCAATATACCCTCCCCACTAAAGTGGTGTAGGGTATAACAAGTCTCTGAGTACGAGAAACTTCCTACCACGAGAGAGATGTATGATATTTCTTTCTCTTTCCCTCACACACAAAATCAAAAGTTTCCCAAAAAAAGTTTGCTTGTGTAGACGGGCAGTTAGTAATATAAACAAAAGACTTCGACTTCCATCGTGTTAACAATTCTTAGTGAATTGCAGTGTTTTAAGCTAAAGCTAATTTAGCGGTTTTGTTTGCAACATTTAAAGGGTTTCCACTTACTTATTAAACTTTAGCTTACTCTTTAAGAAAATGTTTAAACATCTGTTTTACGATTTTACTTACCTAAAAAGATAAAGAGAAAAAATATAAAAATTAGTTACAAATATTAAAAAATCAAATATAATTAATAAATTCTTAAGATAAAATTTATTCATTAAAGAAAATCAAGAGTAATAAAAAACAGTTTAAGCCCATATTTTATAGACACTCAAGAAAATAAGTGAAAGTTCATAAAAAAACACACACACACTAATGATGTAATTAATTTAAATAATATTCTTAAAGCAATAACAACAAATTATTAAGCCCATAAACACATTGTACAACAACACTTCTCTTCGATATAAAAATAAACTAAAATTCATTCATTATAAATTAAAATATCTACTGAAAATTTTATGTTTTACATGAAATAAAGCCGCTCTAGAGAACGAAATAAATGTTTAACTTAAGCATTAAATGATTTTCTAGTAATTTTCTAACACGCACAAACAAATATTTAAAAAAAAATGTTTAAATAATTTAAGCGCCTTTTAAGTTAACACCCCCTCTGACCACCAAGTACAATTGGTTAAAACAACAGATCCATAGCCAGAGGAAATTGATTGCGTGTTTCGAAGCCAAGAGTCTAGAGAGAGGAGCGTGAAGTTTTTTTTGTTAAAGGCGTTTCATGATAATTTGAAAATTTAAAACTGTGATGAATTTTAAAATATTTGTTAAGACATAATAAAAGCTTAAAGTTTTTCTTGTGAAAACTTGTTTCAGTTTGGTGTTTTTTTTTTCTCTCCTTGTGATATGCAAATGAATATTCAATTAATTTTCGAACATATCAATGAAATGTTAGTTTAAAATGGAAAAAAAAAAATTCAAGTTTTCCTTAAGTCTATAGTTTTCCGTCTAACGTTACGTATTTACATATTTCCAAGCAAAGTTGATGATTATAATTCATGTACATTGGCTATTTACAAAGAGGCGTTGATTCACTTAAAATGCAATTTTTAAGATTTTTTTCTCTTATGTATGTATATGGGTCCCATCATTGAATTATGATCTTTAGAAGCACAGATCATGATGCTGTTGATAGTGGTGAGAGGAAGGAAATTATTTGTTTAAATTTATGGCTTAATATTTTTGAATATAAAATTAAAACAAAAAAAGTGAAATTATTACATTTAGAAAGGTGTTATTGTTATGTTACAAACAATTATTTTAATTGTTTATTAAAAAGGAAATAGTTATACAATTATGACTTTTGTCAATTTTTATTTAAGTTTCTTACTGTTTTAACCATAAATAACAATTTAATTTAAGCCGGCTTATGACAATACCGGCATTTTTTGACATATCTTACTCTGTTAAAATTGTAGTAATTTATTTAATAATAAATTCTTCAAAAGCTGACCACAAAAAAAACTGCTCAATAGCAAACAAGTTTTTGAAAAAAATGCAGCATAAATTTAAAAAAATATTTATAACATTTAATATCTTGTATACATATGTGCTATATATAAAACAGCAACAAAAATAACAATTTATTTACGGAAAATATTATTAATAGCTTTTATCATATTTATTAACGTCTGCCACAAATTTTCAATTAAATCATAAAGTGATATGAATATTAAAGTAAGAAATAAAATAAAAAAAAAGAAAAACTTGGCAACCTCTATAACACACTTAATGTTGACAGTTCTCTCTTTTTGTCTCACTCTTTGGTAATAACTGTGATAACTTGTAACAGACATTTATGAATAGAAAAATCTATGTAAATATGTAAGTTTTTTTTTCTATGATTTATTGAAAAAAGAAATCACACATCAATATCTTAGCAATGATTTAATGTCTATATACTTTTATTAATCAAAAAGTATATATATAATCTCTATAATACTACAACCATTTTCACACCAACTGTGTGTGTTTGTGTACTAACTTTGTAAACAAATGCAGTGTTGCAAAAAAAGGTATGTTACTTTTTTAATTACTTTGCATACAACACACACTTTATATATAGCAACAACTAACGGTTAAAGTAACAATATTTTTTTTACTAGACTACTTGCTTCATGTAATATTATTAAGAGCCACCACGGGTAATTCCGGCCTTAGTTTGTCAAAACTGTCAATAGAGTTATGCGTTCATATGAGCATTGCAAAACCAAAAGAAAGTAGCAAAAATGAAAAAATCTCTACAAAAAAAAACTAACATAAAACTGTAAACAAATTGCAAATTCATGTAGTATTTTTATGTTTTTATTTTATTTTACTACTTTTGGGATTTATCCCATTTGTTGTGGTCTCTTGTTAAAAAAAATATATGAAAAATGTATAGAAAATGTTGTCAGCAAATGCGTAACAAATTGAAATTTTAATGTTTACAATATTTTCTTTCTACCGGTGTTGCATCTTCCTCTGCTTCTTCTTTAGCTAGTTCTTCTATTTTATCATTTTGGCCGTCTAGTCTAGTTTAACTGGTCATCATTTTGCTGCTAGTTTCGCATGACTATTATTAATTACTTAAGTTGTTTTTTGTTTTTGTTTTTTTCTATATTTTGTTTATTATTTATCATTAATATTTTTCTATACATACAATATGTTATTTGTAATTGATTTAGTTTAAAAATGTAACTAAATATTAATAAATGTCAAATTTGAATAGTTATTTATCATGAAATCTTTGTTAAACTAATTGTTAAAAGTGAAATAAATTTCACTAGAAGAGAAAAAAAAAACAAAGTGATTTATTTGCTAAACATGTTTTAGAAAATGTAAATTTTTTGAATATAGATTTACAAAACAATAAAAATTCCGGCATCTTTATCAATTCTTTAAATTCGCCATATTGAAAATTAGAAACCCTTGAAATCAAACCTAAACTGAACTAAAAACCTTCGCAAATACAACGTTTTTCTACATTATATTAATGATTTTGTTCTTAAAATCAGTCCAATTATCGGTGTCATTGTATTAACGAAAAATGTTTCATTAATTTTAAAATATTTTCGTTAATATAATGAAATAATGTTATTAATATAGAATATATGTAACGTTAGTATATGTTTTTACAATGTAAAATATCATTAAACCAATTATACCATTTACATAATAAATCTTTTTCAATAATAATATGAAAAAAATGTATTAATGTTTTAATAGTATAACGACATGTTTCGTTGATGTTAAGAAACTTTATCATATATGCAATGAACGTTGACATTGTGTTAGTGACATTGCTTCACTAATATAATTATTTCTAACATTAATGGAACGAAGTTCTTACATTTCAGCAATGAATTGTTTCATTGATTCTAAAAACTACTACAAAGAAGATGAAGATGACAATTTCTAGCATTAGTGGAACGAAATTTTTACATTTCAACAATGCATGATTTTCCATATGTGGCAACATCAAAGATGTTAACTTAGTGCTTTTTAGCTGTAATTTTAGTGCTTTTAAAGAATTTCGACCCGATAATATATTGAGTCAATGCTTGCCTAAAATAAAAGTTGTGTAAACTTTTCCGTTATAAAATTTTCCAGCAATTTTAAAGGAAATATTTCATTATTCTAAAAACTACTATAAATAAGATGAACTGTTCTTCTCTGTTTTTCATTTCTTTGACAATCCCAGACATTCTATAAAAGTCAGAAAAACTGTCGTCCTATATCTGGACTAAGGATCTGAGACTTAACCCTGGTAATCTCAATCATGTTATGGTTCGTAATTTAGACGTCTAAGCAATTTCCATATGTCTGTATGTCTTTTGAAATCAATTTTCTGAATTTGCCAGACACATGCTTTCATATTAGCAAAATTCCGCAACAAATTAGTTCTTAGACACAAGAAGTTTAGGGCTGAAATCAGGGATGGAAACAATTTATGAGTAAAACTTTGATTCTTGGGGACATTTAAATGAAAAATTTTAAAGAAAATAAAATTTAAACAAAATATTATAACAATTTTTTTGTTTAATAATTGTTAGTGAAATTCGAGTAACTCTATAAATTGTTCAATATTGAAATTTCGCCATATTGAAGAAGACAGTGACATTCAACTATTAGTATTCTCCTTCTATTGCCTAACTTAACAATTCGTTTTCTAACTTAAATGATTCCTCTAAACTGAATTAATTAGACATTCATTTTAATGTTAAGAAAGTTATTTTCTTTTTATTCTGATACAAAAATTTTAATGGACAAATTATTCTTAACTATCACTATAAACTTGTTAAATAAATGTTTTAGTTTATTTGACGGTAAATTATTCAATTAAACTTTCTCTATTTCTCTTACTTTATACAGTTCTTAAAATAACAATAAAATTTATTACTATCAATAAAAATTTATTACTGTGCACCAATTGTACATTAACACTTACAAACATTTCTAATTTTTCCATAGAATTTTCGATTAATTTAAAGCTAGATTTATTAAAAAATATTAGAAAAAAACTGAAACTGTCAAAAATGACAGTTTTGTTCTATGAAACGTACGAGTAAATTTGTAATCAAAACAAAAACAAATAGTTAACAGTACATACATACATACTGAACTATGGAACGAACTCTCGGCGAAAAACAAAATCAAAACAAACAGAAGACGAAAAATAAAACAAGTGCACATCATCATAATGATATATGAAGCGCGAAATTTTTGTTTAATAGCCACAACAACAGCAACAAAAACAAATATTAAACAAAAATAAAATTCAACAAGTTTAAAATTATTATGTGTGTTTGGCTGTATGTGTGTATTTATAAATATATTTTTGTGTTTTGTTGTTGTTGGCGTTGGTTTTTTGCTTTATATTATTTTTTTTTTGCATGTGCGATCAATGAGCCACTGACCTAAGACAACATGGTTTGCATTGCGATTAACACTGCGATTACGTTGAAAATTCAGACAAAATTATAACAAAAACAAAACAAAAATTAAATGCACATACAATTGACTTAAAAAAATTTTAATGTGGATTTTATACATGTTTTCTAGAAACATAAGATTCTTTCAGCTTTAGCACTTTTTACAGCAAAAAAAAGTTTCCATTTTTACTGCAGTTTTAA